CAATCAAAAAGATTCTTCAAACGTAATGGAAAAATAAATATTGCGCGAAAGTAATCAATTCATTGAGAGCAAAATGAATTATTCATACATCAAAAAGGTGAATTTTTTATCAAGGATTGTTGCATACTATGAAGGGATGAGTGGAGCGAGAAGGGATGTGAGTGGGAGAGAGCAGCAGGAGTTCATGAGGATGCGCAGACAGAGTATTACAATGGACTGTTCGCTGTCACAGTTTGCACGCAACACTCGCGCTGTAAACAACGTTATAAGTAACAGAGATTTCTCTGCGACTGGTATTAAAAATAAAAATTAATTTTGTCTTCATATCGATTTTTCGTCAACGCTGCAATTATCTATCACGTGACTTCAAAAGGAAAGAAGTTGACGAACTTATTCTCAGTTTAAATAAAGCACCGAAGTTTTCTCATTGCTTTAAAAGCGTCACTTTGTAATTAGCGTTAATCTCATGGGAGTGTGAAAAAATTGATTACAAACTTGAAGAGGAAATTTATTGATTTTCCTGATTTATAGTGATTGTTAGAAGTGACTACGAAGAGTTCTATGCAATTTGGAAAATAATTATTGAAATGATGTACGGAACTCTCTCTCGAAATTCTTCCTTTAATCGGTTTACCGCGCGGTATCGTAATGCTATCTTGATATCCAAATGCGAATTATTCAACGTCAAGCCGGTTCCTAAACGTTGTGTTGAAGTAAAATAGACTAAGCTCCTGTCAGCTGCTGTGTAGGATATGTGGGATCAGTAGGACGAGAGAATGCTTTGAAATGTCGAGGAACGGAAGTCCAATGGCATTCAATTTGCCGAGTCTGAGGTGAATGGGAGCGAGACGAAGCTCAATGATGTGCACGAAAATCGAACACTCCACGTCCATAAACCGTACTAAAGGAGGATGAAGGATCGAGAATCCCGTACGATATCATAAAAACATAGGTGAGGAGAAAATCATTTAATTGATGACCGTTTTATTTTATATATACATACATATATACGACATATACATATGCCTGTACATATATTTATAGAATATATACATATATATATGTCTGTATATGTATAATATGTTATACATAATCGGTAATTTCCTCGGATAAGAATTATGCTGAGAACTGTTTATGTTTATCTTATACTTCGTTAATTTCAGTCGTTTTACTCGAAGGCATTAAAAACAAATCCCCATTTCTTATATATTCTCCGATAATTTTTCCTGACATTGGCTGCGTTCAGCAGAGAAAACTAATCAGTTAGCGCTTAGTGATTCTTCAATATAATTAGTTCCTACACTTAAATCCAGTAAAGAACTGAAGGTAAGAACCGTATTAAAGAATCACTAAGCGCTAAATGATTAGTTTTCTCTGCTGAACGCAGCCATTATTAATCCTCACGACAAATAACTCGGATTAAAGCTGGCTTAATCCTACACTTCTCGGTAACTTTAGCTCATTGTCTTACTCTCTTACTCCCTTATGCTCTTATTTTTTTACTCTTTTGTTTATCCAGTAGATAAATTACCACATAGTTTATCCAAAGATGGAACAACCAGCCCTAAATGGAGTAACGGTATGAATCTGTATAGTCACGAAAGTAATTTGAAAAACGCACACAAAACAGAGATATATCGTACATTTATCTATTTTTATCATGACACACTCGATAACACAGTATTTTGAAATAACACCGTTTGAAGATTAATAGGGGATGAAAAATGAAAACATCTTCCAAGATTCATATCTAGAAATATACTGATAACAAAAATGAAATATAAAGTAAAAATAACACTGATTATAATGTACAATCTTAAGGAGATTGAATTATGGACAGTCATTTAAATGGAACTTACATAGTCTTTCCACAAATTTCATTTATTTCTGTTATTCCGTCAAAATTTTTTACATTTGTATATTTGCGCGTACATTAATATCACTTTAATCTGGATTATTTTGAACGTATATTAAAATTACGTTTCTATTACATGTAAAAAGCTTCTTATAGTATAATATAAAGCATCATCTTCAATCAATATAAAATTAGATCCTCTATATAAATTATTATCAAAGGGACATGGAGCTTCTCAGCTCCAAAGGCAAGTGTGCCATTTAGGATGCTTTTACTGCTTCAAGGAACTAATATTTACGAATAGACTCAGCGGTTTTGCGAGGGGGGATTCATATAAAAGAATGATGAATCGGAAGTCGTAAACATATCTTTCACAAAGAGGATTTTTAGTTCCATGATATAATAAAGAGATATCATATATAATATATTGTATATATTTTTCCTCTCTTACTTTACATAAAATATATTTCATATATATAAAAAATAGCGATTTAATGTGTCGCCCCCCCCTTCTCTCTCTCTCTCTCTCTCTCTCTCTATTTTCCAGGAATTGTTTTAATTCCAGATCCCTTCGCGCTATATTGAGAAATGTCTGGTCTTGTAATTCATAAATTTCGCGCACAGTTCGTGTAGCAAAGAAATGTTCATTTTACACAGTGATGTTTAACATCGCGCAAAGCTCTGACATACCATGTGTCCGACATTTCCAACATGAAATTCCCTAAGTGATAAATCTGAAGATATACATCGTTTGACAGACACCTAAGATTTATGTGAAAAACACGCGATCCTTTATATCGGTGTCCATTAAAGTTATTCGCAAATTTATGGTTGCACACGTTTTAATGTATGTATTATGTACACGAGGATCTCCGCGTTCTCTTTCGTCCGCAATAAAATGCGTTTCTCTCCTTAAGTACTTTTACGTGTACTTTCTTAGATATAGAGCTTGCCCGTTACTATCTTTATTTCGATGTAGTAAAAAGAATATATTCGGATTGGTTAGAAGTGTTAGAATTCAAGTAGAAATGTTCAAGTAGATAATTGCTCGATCGAGCGAAAGTGTCTCGTACACATCGAAAAAAGAAATAAAAAAAAGGAAATGTGATTCGTCGAATGTGAAAAAGGGTAAGGTCTGCAGTGATGATTGCGACAGCGTGGAATTACTTTTTCCCTTCTTGCTCAATTTTCCGCCAGTCATCCTATCTTTCGATTACATTCGCTTTTGCGATGATCGAAAGACATAAAAAATTCTACGCATTCGATCTAACCGACAGTTCGGTATACTGACAGAGATGGAATTAATATAGAGAATCTATCTCTCTCGAATAAATAATTTTGTTATGGTATATTACATATTAAGTTTAAAACTTAACGAATAAATGCAAACATTATCATATATGATAAGAAAAACCTTAATGTGAATGCCAGTAAAACATTAATGTTTTACTGGCATTTTTACTGGCATTTTTACTGGCATTTTTACTGACATTTTTACTGGCATTTTTACTGACGACTATTAGTCGTCAGTAAAACGAAATTAACAAATAATTAAGAAAGAACAGTATCTAATAATAGTCAATTAAATTTAAAAAATCTTAATTAATTTTTACGCAGTAATGGAAAATGTATTATCGTTTTCCGATAGTCCCTATTAAGGTCACTTTTTCGAACTACAAATTACAAATCAAAGAAAAAAAACAATGTTTTTTTACAGCGTTTAATCGATCAGATTTACTGCAAACAAAATTAAAATGTATTAAATAAATTTTTGTTACAGCATCAACAGCGTCAAATTCGCGAGGCGAAATGGATGGACTTACTATCGCTGTCATTGTTCTCTCGATCTTCTGTTTCACAATAATGATCGTGATGCTGGTCTGCTACTTTTATGCTTTTCGAAATTTATTATGCCCGCCAGAAAGGAGATCTAAAAGGCGATGTCGAGCAAATCCCCGAGGAGAGTTTGATAACGCGAACAGAGCCGCGATACCATTGAACGATATCGCACAAGAAGAAAGTATGCCCACAGAATCCGATAAAATTTAAGTTACATATACACCTGATAAATTTAAATTAAATTGCAAAGCAAAAGATTTAAATGTGCAAACATTTAGAAGAAGTTTCTTATAACAATCATAATCATAAAATTAAAGTGTGGAAATAAAACATAATAAGCGGAATTAATACAACTAACGATCATCGAAAAGAATATTTATACCTATACTTTCGACAAACATTATATTTTTACAAGAGAGAATCCTGATTGCAATATAAAGGAGAGGAGAGATTAACATACAATATACACACGAGAGTTCAATCGTGTATATATTCGTTCATTGTAAATATATAATATGTTATAAATCTGTTATACATAATCAGATGTACATACATATACATATATACACTATATGTCATTCGTTTATCGCAAAGTGTATGCAATAAAAGATCTGGTAAAAATATTCGACATCAGTTATTGATAATAACCATATCAACTATTATGTATATAAAATAAATTTTTATTTATATTTTTCCCTTATGCATTATACCTGTAATGCATGCAATGCACATCTCTTTTGGTAACTTATATATTAATGTCTAAAGATCTCAACTTAAAGATATTATCTCAGAATTATCTTCACAAATCACAACAAGATGCTAATTATCCACGAATTGAAGGATATCCATGTTAGAGACAATTCACATAAAACTTAAATATTATACTAAATATAAAAATAATACGTAATTTTTTTTTTTCAAGATCGTATATATTAACTAAACCATCAAACATTGCACTAATGAATATGCAATGAAAAAAAATTAATGTTTCTCATTAAATCTGAACTTAATTTAATTTTGTTTTATTATTGGATTATAAAAAATCTGCTATATCGTCAACCGAACGAAGAAACAAAGAGAAGTATGCTCTTTGTTTTATAAACTTGGTTTTATTTAAATATTATATAGTACGTCACGTTTTCTTTATAGATATAAGGATCTAACGAATTCTTCTGAAGAACAATAGCGGCCTTTATATACACAATCTTATCCACATGCTAGGAATGTACAGGTTGAAGAAGATACAAAAATTTAAAGCTTCATCCAAGAACGTTGATCGTATAAAAGATCACACACTCTTATATGCTTGAGTGCAAATTTGCGCGAAGATAAAATTGTTACACTCCAAAGATTGGATGTGTTCCAAAATTCACTGTCAGTGTTGAAAATATATAGTAACGTAGACAGTAGATTTTCAGCGCTGGCAGTGAATTTTGGAACACAGCCATTGTTGTTACATCTTTATGTACATTCTTAAGTGCATTTCATTTGATTACGTTCAAGAGCAAAAGTAAAAACTGGTGTTTTATTACGTTCTTGCTTGACTTCTGAAATTTTCAAATTTAGAAAATTCCACTCTTGCACACGGTTTCTAGTGTACGCGGATTTGCGCGCGCTCTTAACTTTATCATTTTATTTGAATGCACAAACTTGAACGCGTTTTTATTCAGGGCATTTTAAATGGCATCGAGCAAATGGTACTGAGGGCTCTGTATTTTAAGTAAAAAGCGCCAATGTACTAATGCCAAAACAAAAAAAGAAGGAAATTTTCTGCATTTTTCCTCTGTTGCAGCATATTCATTGCATATTCACTAATTATTTCTTCAACTGTTGTACTTTCTAAACATCGCTAAACAAATATTTAAATTGCCAATACGGCAAAATTAACGTAAACTCCTTTCTGTTTTGTACTTCTTTGTACTAAATCATAAATATGTACTAATCATCACCATAGATTTGGGACTGACGTACTAAATTTTCCTAAATTATACTAAAATAGTACAATTGTAATGAAAAGGATTATTTCACGTACAATTGTAATGAAAAGAATTATGCCACGCATATGATCAAATTTAGATATTATAATAAAAAAAACACTGCAAAAGCCAAAAATAAAGTTGGAGACACGGCTTCGAAGATGAAACGGTTAACGTTTCCATATAAATTTCCATATAAAGCTTATGAAAATCGATTGAAAAATAGTTTCCGGTATTACTTATAGTCATTACTTATTACTAGAATGCATATCTTCAATAATTGAAATTAAATAGTGTCCACCAAATTAACCAAGACATTAAAAATATGCCTTTCAAGAGAATCATTCTCATGTGATGCGCTCCAAGAAAAGCGGTAAATTGTTGGCCAGCTTTATAGCTTTTCCTGAAATGCATCACAATTTTTTTCTTGTTTTCAATTTTTTTCTTTCAATGCAAGGATCTCTTCCCTGAGAATCCACATTTAGTTCGGTTGCTTGATGGGCCAGTCCACCCATGTTCTTATTATTCAGGCTTTTAAAGACTCTTACCTTTTTGGAACGTGTACTTATTTACACGTACATACTTAACTATATATATAATCTTGAAAGTTTTTTAACAAAATCGACAGATAAGATTGTTCATATAAAGGCTGCTATTGTGCAGACGCGCGGATACCTTTCTCGAAAATGCACTTGATTAGCTGATTTGATTGTTAGCGACTGTGAGTTGTTGTAGTACCGAGAGTACTACTTGGCGTAGAGTCTAAGAAATTAATATTTAAATCAAATTTCATACAATTCAGAAAATAAAATAGAGGACGTATAAAAAATATAGTTGTTTACCTGAGGTTTACATTGTTCCTCCAGCCAACTGAACACGCAGCCAGATAATTCCGTAAAGTTAGCTACAGAAATATTGAACGTTTCGAAAAGGCGATTCATTATTGCCTTGAACTGCAACATAATACAAATCATAGTAATAATAATAAATAATTGCAGTAATTTCAGAAATAAGAAATTTCCATTTCCATTACCACTTGAAACTTCATCTCGTCCGAGATACGCATTTCTGCGTGTCCTGGTTGTGTCTGATGTGCTTTAACAATCTGCTCGTAATTTGCCTGCATAATGCGCAACGCAACGACTTCTTTTCTCAGTGCATTACGTTCGTCCTCTTGTTTCTTCTTCTGTTGCAATAGAAACTGTATGTAATCGATGGATTTTTGAAGTACTGTAGCCTTGGAAATCTTATAACCCGAGGAGTCTGTATGCTGACAGGTTGGTACCAAATCCTGAAGAGAGTCGTAACCCTTTTTGATAGCATCCCGCCTCTTCTGCTCGGCCTGCGTGTGAGCTTCTCTCCTACGCTCCTTATAGCTTATAGTAGAATTTTTGTTATCGCTATCTTCATCTTCTGAACACATCATTCGTCAGTTAGTCAATCATGTTACTGAGCAAGTACTTGGTGGAAAACAAGCACTTACCTGTATTATGTGCGGAAGAAGATGGCGTGTGAACTGACCCTGTGCTACTACAACGGGAGAAGGTATACTTCTCTGTGGGACTAGACGGCTCCAGTTTCATGTCATTGTCTGATCCTATATTACCGCTGCTAGCACGCATCGTCAAATTAGCTGCTTTCAACAAACATACAATATGCACATATACATTTAATTCAAATACATGATAATACAATTTATTTAATTATAGCTTTTTGTATTTTAAAGATAACAGATGGAAAAAATTATGGAATTAAAAAATGTTAGCAGTAACAATATTCTATAATTGTATTTTAAAAATAAAGATATATCAAGTAGGCTCAAATGGAATAAAATTAATTGAAACACATGTTTGACTGTACATATAAAACTAAGCATTTGCAAATATATTGATGTATGTTTCTTATCATGTCTTTTCTCCATTATATTTTTTTTTGTTTAGATGAAAAAAATATGTTTTTAAAATTTTTTTTATAAATACGTCAAAATTTTTTTAAAAACTTGTGTTATATTTTATTTTTCTGAGGTAACAAATACAAGAATGATTACATTATTTACACACACATTTTACTAGTTCTATCTAGGAGTAGTTTAATCAGTAATAAGAATTATCAGCACTTAACGACAGATGATAGTTATATATCTATAAATAACTGTGTAGTAGTGATGTAGTAGTTTTACAGTCAAATCTCTTTATATATAAACGAAACAATATATGTTATTAATTATTATATAGATTTAAATTTCTGTTTCTTACTTTTCACTTGATATTTTTTCTTTCTTCCCGAATCTTTTATACGTATCTACGTACTATTTTATTTTATGTGCTTATTTTATCTGCTTTTCTTTTCTGACATTTGAATTTTTTACATTGAAAATTTTTATATTTTTGCAATTAAAAAATTATTTTGGAATACTATTTATTTAGGAATATATATATTATTTATTTATTTACTATCTATGCCATTTATAGAATACTATTTATTTATTTATTCTTCTCACCCCCAAATCTTAATAAAAATGTACTCATTCGACGCGTTTTCAATAAAACAAGAATCCAGCAGAAAAGCATGGCTAATATACATTTTTCAAATATATATTTGTTTTTTTTTAAATAAAAAAATATACGAACATAATGCAGCTGAAAATTAGTCAAAGTAGTGCTTGTAAAATGAACAGCTAAACACAACACGCAAGTGTCAGCATCGTCAGCAGATGTCAGCAGACGCACTATATGCATGTAAACACGAAGTTATTAAAGTCACGTGGTCGGTTGCGCAGATTCGATTGCGCACGAAGAAATTCAGGAGTGGGGGACGCTTTTCCCCTCCCCTATCATCTAGGAACAATGTCTGCGTTCGGAACTGTTATGCAATGGCATCAAAGGTGAACGTCAGGATGCGTTCAAAGAGTATAATGGTCGAACCTGAACGCAGTGATCGGTGAATAGACTCGAATGACTGGTATTTCTCTCTCCACCTGGAGTTGCGCCTTTTACGCTTTTCATCCTCCGGGAACCGAACGCAAGTAATTTGAACGAGTGTAGGAAGTACAGGACGGGGCAGGTAACCAGAAACGGCAGGAACAAGCGTGCAGAAAATCGCACGGATAGGACAACAGACAGAAAGGAAAGCTTTGTTTTTTTCTTTTTTTTTTCTATTTACTTACGATTTTCATATCCATCCTTGTGCAACGAATCTGCCATGGTCGGTCTTGCGCGACTCCAACTACCTCTTGCTAAAGCAGCAGGAAATCAAAACGCGTACATGAAACGGTTATGATCGGAGGATGATCATAAGAAAATGATCGACTCGAGATATAAATGCGTAAAGAAGGAAAATTTCGAAAGGTCAAGGCACATTAGATTGCACAAGATTCTTCGGTCACACTCGATCACGACACCGCGAACGATCTCGTAATGATACTCGTACTCGTCTCGTAATGATACTTTTGCGTGGTGTCTACCATCTTTGACGGAAATGGAAAGACTAGTGAATAACACTAGTTCCTTTCAGCCGCGCTATGTTGCACTTTCTGCGCTCAAGATGGAACGAGCGCGCAGTCAATTGAAAGATGAAAAAGCATAAAAAAACATAATTAAAAGAATACTGATGCATCCGCTCATCTCAGTTTCATCTCCCTCGCCTTTTTCTCTCTCTAGAGTTGAAATAGGCTTATTTTATGTGAAAAACACTGACTGTTTAGTAAAAACTATCGTGTCCAATTTTCTTTCAACGTAGAGATTAACTTTTCTCGGTTTAACTGATTCTTTTTTTAATTCTTAGAAAAGTTAATCTGAGAATAAAGTTAATCTATTTGATAGAAATGGACATTAATAGACGAGTCGTTTGATTAATTAGATAAGCAAAAAGAAAAAACTATTTTTCACATTTCGTACTTGAAGACCTTAGTTACAATTTTTTATTTTTTTGACTTATTTAGTATATTAATTAATTATGTAAAATATACATGTTAGATATTACATTTTTTTATAAAACAATCATATAACTTTGAAATTATTTTATAACGATTAATAAAACACGAGACTGATAGCCCAATTATATCACTGAAAGTATTATATAAGACAATATGATACAGTTTTAATAACATAAATATAATTAACGATCTCGATTATAAAAGAGGACTGGATGAACTGCAAAAAGATCTTGTCTTATCAAAACTTGTGACGTGTATTAAAAGAAAAAATTAAATTAAAATTAAACAAAAATTTATAAGAAAAAATTTTAAAATACTATAATATAAATGAACACAAAGAGTTTACAAGATACTTTTTTATCACATAATGAATGACAATTAATTAAAATTCAATAATTATAATTATTTATATATATAATGTTAAATAATATAGTAAAATAAAATTATAAAATAATTAAGCCTGAAATATACATGAATTTTTAATTTTTCAAGTAATGCACGCGTGATAGACTGAAGTTAGAACATTAGATATGTTAAATTATGTTTATTATAAGGTGTATCTAATATATATATTTACAATCGCTTTAATACACGTAAAACCATTTAAGACAATGTATCCGTTATTCCTCGGCGTTACAGCGCATCTCACCGTAACGCTGGCAAATTGTGTTCCTACATCATCGTTTTTGTCTCCGTGAAGTGTACACGATTTCGGTATCATCATGGGTATTTGTCTATTGTGTACCTGAGACAAGGACCGTTGCTTGCATTAATACGCTTGCGATAGCAAGGCTTCGGGGTGAAGCAAGTAATTCCAAGAGAGATATATATATATATCCTTCTTTCCTCCCTTTCGTTTTCCTTTCCCCCCGGCGCGCACAGCACTTCTCTACTGTCTAGAAAATTATTCTACTCCTAATTCGCATATTCACTGTTATATTCGATCGTACGTCTAACTTAGATCCATAATATGCGTAGTACACGGTTCTACATTTGTATCGTTCGGGGACGGATTATGTCGGAAAGCCGAGAAAGAGAGGAGCGTGAACTGTTCAAGACGACGCTAAGTGAAAGACGTCGTTAAAGGTGTTATATTATATATAATATATTATCCTCGTATATTATATTACATATAATATATATGTATATGTGAGGTATGTTTAGGCTGAATTGCACGAGACGGTCCGAGTCACCCAACTCTGGTTGGCGATTCTCTGTCCCCTCTTTATCCATGAATTATATCCATATCCATTAAGTAAAAAGATACATGAATTAACCAAAATTAGTACTGAACAATTATATTAGATAATTAGTACTCCACATCCCAAATAACACAGTTTAAAATTATGATATAAGACATCTTTAAGTCGTCTCTTAGACGCAAAAAACGTCTTATGACCTGATTTTAGACACTGTTTGTTGTCTAGGATTGTATACGTTAATATCACCTTTTTAAATTAATTAACTTTTGATTTGCAGTGACTATCCGATTGATAATTTCTCTTTGAGTTAAGAGGAGTGCAAATAGAGAATAAGTTGCTAACTCATTTTTGCACTGGATTGCGCTGATATCATATCAATGATTAACTTGCTCGGTCCTTTTTATACGGGATGTCACAAAACTATCGGATATCGTGATTTTTTACCTGTAAAATAATTTTAAAAAATCTCAATCAATTACAGAGAATGTAAGTTTGCCAGCCAACCAAAATTGGTATCGACTGATATTAATGCAATTCGCCGCTGTAGATGTCGATCCTGGATCTATATGTTCGTTCTTAGGGGCCTGAATGACGAAACAGAGTCTCGATGCGAATTTCTGGATGGTCTCATCCTACAGATGTTCGTGATATACGCCGCTGCTGGTCGTGCGCGACGTTTTGCAAGTGAACATACAAGCGTTTCGAAATTTCCGACACGTACGATTTGGCTATGCCCGCCCCCGCAATGCGCTATTCAACGTAACATTAAATGAAGTTTTACATACTCGTTCGCAACCAGAAACGCCCCACGTGTATTTTATATTTTTCGGATAAAGGTCACTTTCCCGCGATTAAATCGATAAAGCATCACATCGTAAATTCTCGTCAAAGTTCAAATTTAGTATATTATTCTCATACATATCACACATTCACCTCACACGTATGCGCACCGCAACGTTTTCCCATTATAGTTACACCCTAAGTTATCTCTGCTTTTCTTTTTCTCTAATTTCCTTTTGACATCGATAAAAAATTATATATATATATTTATATATATATTTTTCATATATATTTCAATTATTTTATCATTAATTAATTAATTGTTTAATTAATTAATTAATCGTTATATCTTATTGTTCCATTAAAGTTTAAATTAAAGTGTTCTGCGTGTGGTATGCACACCTCTGGCAAGTACCACTCAAATATATATACATATGTATTTATATGTACGTACATACATTCATATACATACATATAAAGACATACTTACATACATATTTGTAATATATAAAGTATCATTCACTTATATATTTATCTGTATTTTTCATTTTTTAATAAGTATCATCATGAATAACTCACAATATCTAACTACGCTGCTTTGAGATTAATTGGGTAATCGGTGCAAATAAGACATTAATTGCTCTTACTGTACCAATAATTCTTTATCGCGTAAGGTAAACCATCAGACTTCCGCAGCCGATTGCATATATCCTTGATTTTTATAATTTATAATTTATAATGTAGAAATGTGAACGTCCCCCATTTTCAATTTATTCTCATAAATACAAACGCTATTAATTTTATTCATAACAAAACTTCATTTTTCCGCATAATAATATACAAAAATGGCATGATACCCAATAATTCTTTTATCTAAATAGAATCATTCCTATAAATAATTATCTATTTCTATTAATATTGCAATGTGTACGCCATCTCATAATTGTTTTGGTAAAATGGCGTATTCATAAAAATAAACTAACATCTTTTCAAGTATCCATCAACATTTTGCTCTTTAGTACGATGTAAATTCTTCTTCGATATTTTCTGGTTGTTCAGCGTCTTAATATTGGGATGGTACTTTTATCATAAAATTTTTTTGATTTTATCTAGCCACACGAATTCATTCAATCCATGCATGTGAACATTGAACATAAATGATACAATTGGACGATAAAACATTTTGCTTGTAAAAGAATAAATTTTCTAATAGAAATTAAAATGCCTTTAACGGTCGAAGCTAGATCTATAATGCTTTAAATAATTCAATGTGAATTATATATATACTATATATGTACTTGCATATATACCATATTTGTAGTCCTTCAAACTGCGCGCCGAATTGATTTTCTGGACTTATAAACGCAATTAAACTACTGGAATAATATCACGAACTGAACTAAATTGACAAGCAATTCTTAATTTTTGATGCACAATCAGGCATCATATTAGCAAGATGTTACTGTGCTGAAAAACTGTAAATTTATTGCGAAAAATATTACCTCGGCCGGAAGTCGAACCCAGATCTCTTACATAAAGGCATTTTAATTTCTATTATTAATTGTGTTTCTCACATAGCACGGGTCTTAAAAAAATAATAAATTTTCTAATTTGAATAAACATAACGAATCAAAACGATATAGCTATTGATGTATTTGTAATACCGGACGAACAATCGAAATCAATTCTCTCAGATATTTTAATCCGTGATATTTTTTAACAATATCACGAAATAAAATTTTCTCTAAAAACTCAATCTGAAAATTCTTTATGTACGAATTACCGCATTATGGATCGAATGCGATCGAAATATTCGAACAAATTTACACTTTTCTAAAAATTACTCGCTTTATACCGATTCAATTAATATAGAATGTTGTTTAAATGGTCGAATTAATTTACAATTTTTTAAAAATTATTTGGTTTCCACCACATAATTCGATAACATATAAGTTGTTTTATGAAATTTTAATGCCTTCTCAATTCCTGTATTGTCTTATTCGATCAAAATATTGAAGACGCGATATCCAATCAACATTCTAGCAAGGATATATCATTTTAAAAATAACATGAGAATCACATATTTTTGATCGAAGAGCAAAATGGAAGGCGAATGTTTGTCGCTATAATATTATTTAGTACGTTCTTTCATGCGATATCACTGTTAAATGCATGACAAACACAAACATGACACATGATTTCAACTTTCTATCTTCTTCAACCGCGGCAATGATAATTAAAAAACAAATGAATTTAATAAGAATTCGAGAAAATTGGACGTTGCTTTACGAGCAAAGCGAATGATCGGTTAGGCTTCTTTAGAATGTTCATCAATGTACGTCGTTATCGGCGACTATAAATTCGTGAAATAATCGAAAAATCAACTGGCGTTCTTGACAATCGCGGCAATCGATACGGTTAATATTTTCAAAACGATGTTCGTTGCGCGAGATGCAGGACGTTCGGTGAGGAATTTTGTACTTTTCTAAGATCATATCGGCTTGCTGACATAAAGAAACGCGCGTAAACCATAGAAAGTCTCTATCTTCGGAAATCCATTAAAGATTGGTTGAATATTTGTACCATGATCAGTGTTATCAATTTATATTTTTGAGCGCTTAGCCTGACGAGACTTGGCAGTGCGACGTGATTTTTTCGCGGCATCGCCCGACGTTTCTTCCACGATAGATCTCCGTTTAAAAGATATTGAAGGCACGGGAGCCTTTGGGGGTGCCATGTCTACTATCGGCGTCGACGGAGATTGCGTAACTACAGATTGCTGTACCACTTCGGTGGGACTGTGGGCATCCGCGATGGGAATGAAGTCGTGCCCTTCGCCAAACGCATCCGGCAGTACTCCCTGATTGGCTAAAGCTTGTAAATCTTCTGTAAGGACTGGCATTGACTGACCACAACCTACACACACTGGTATTGCTGGTGACTTGGAGCGCCAATATTGTAGCTCGGTTTTACACTTGTTCAATTCCTAAAATAAAATTTGTATTTACAAAATGAGAATATAAATTTCTAATGAGAATTAAGAATGAAGCAACCAACTACAATTTAAAAGAATAACCTATAAAGCAAATTTCACATATTACAAATTAAATATTTACTTTTATTTCAAAAATTCCTTGAATATACATCTGGATATAAATACCTGTAGAAGTGTGCTGAATTTTCGTGACGTCTCCTCATTCTTCTTGTCATTATCATCCAATCGAGTAGCATATTCTACGATTTGTTTCTGTTGATCCGCAATTTTCGCCTTACAACTCTTCAAATCCCTGCGCATCAATGTTAGCTGACTGTTGTATCGTCTCATGCCCTGTTTGATCTTGCGAATTCGTTTTCGCAAAACCATGTTCGATTGTGGTGGTGATACATTGGATTCCAAAAGAGCGGGATCGTCTGAACAATGCGACGAAGAACCTTCTTCTTCACCAGCATTGCCCGTTTTTCCATTTCCAATGGTCAAGGGTGTGGAATCCAGGCACATAAATGGTTTACTCACGCTACTAGAAGCTGTGACAATAAAATTCACAATAAAATTATATTACAAAAGTATAAGTCTTGAATCATCGGCTTACAAGAGAATGTTCCTGCCAGATCCAGAAAATCGGCACCGAAGTAAGGTATTTCTGGTAACGTTGGTTCAATGTGTTCCTTAAAGTATTCCATAGCCATAGTGCTTAGATCAAATAATTCGTCGGTGACTTTGTAAGGTCTTTGTAATTTCGGTGTAACTTTTATATAATGGAGAATGCGATAAACTTCATCTAAAATCTGTAAAACAGCAATACTATTTTTATTGCTGTTTCTATGCTCCTATAGGTTTGAATATAATTACGGAAAACTTGGAAAGTAAGAGCTGATTGTAAAAGATTATTCTAAGAAGAGCTATTGCTAACAAATTTAGTATATACTTATTTTCTACATGATGGCATATAATGGCAAAAGAATGCATTCGAAAAACTGGGAATATCTAAGAAACATAAAAAAAAATATTAAAAAAAAAGTTTAAATAAATTTAATCTTACTAGTGCCAAGTCTAACATACAATATTAGAGTCTTTATTTTATATCTCCCGTTCTTACCTCGCCGGGGAAGAAGCAACAATGCTTCCGTTCAATGTGCTTGCCAAAACTCATTTGCAGCAGGGTAAGTCGCATATGTAAAGTTTCAATAATATCCGACTCGCATGCTAACGGATGATTTCGACGCGCGGACTCGCGTCTGGGCATTTGCGCTTTGATAGCTTGAAAACGGCTTAACATTTGAGCTTGTAACTTTTGAAACGTAGAGTTCAGCATTGATCCACAAATGCGGTCCAGTTGATGGCAAACCTATGAACAGAATGCTTGCTATAGTAATTCCATTGGGAGAAGTGAATTAAACATTTTGAATTTACTGATACTACTTACCAAACGCATATGGGCTACCATATTGAAACCTAGGTAGCCAAAAATTTTCTCAAGGACTTCGACAGGTAAATCCAGGAGATTCAAGTTGCGCGATTCAATAGTGGCCCCATTATTGGATGTGCCAGCTGTTACAGAAGGTTGCTTTTTTAACGAATGTACTTCTACTTCACCAACTAATCCACTGCCACCGCTACTTCCCATGTTACTTGATTGACGTGTCGACACCATTTTTTTTGTTTTTCAATAGGCGAGTTTATCCAAAACCTGAAGTAAAACAAACGTGTTTCTTCCACATTAAACAATAATAATATATATATATTAAACACGGTACAAAAATATACATTTCACAAGTTCTCTGTCAAAATTAGATAAATAGATAAGTTGTATGTAAATAATTTTTTCACATTTTATTCTTAAAAGTTTTAAGAGATTACATAACAAATATTTTACAACAAAAAAATTTTAACATATTTTTTAAGAATAACATTCCTACAGTAGCAGAATATAATATAAATACATCCTGATAAACAGTGTTTTTGACACGAAAAATACTTTTTGAAATTTTTGGAAAAAGTACCGATAAATTTCAAGCAAATACATATTTTTTATCATTAACATGTCATTTGTGTTAGCATCTCTTTATTTAATGAAGAAAATTAAAAATGCATTATTATAGTTGCAATTCACGACTTGGAAAATACAGAACACAGAAAGGTTAATCATTCTAGATATAGTCTCCGTAATGTATTCGTGTCACTAAAGTTTTATTTTTTTCATAACAAACAATGAAGTTTTGTGCGAGCTGTTTCCTTCTCGCAAAACTTGTTTAAACAGCAAACTCCGGTTCCAAATCAACGAACTTTCCTCAGCGAGCTCTATCAACAGTCTGAAGACGATTACACGAATGTGTGTTGTGCAAGCACCCCAAATACAAATCGAACATAATCACCCAACGACGAGACAAGACCGGACACGAATCGCGCGGAACATTCGATGACATTCCAAATTCGAATAGCTGTTAGAACGACGATTCCTAGATTCTTACATGAGCGGGACGCGAGCTTCGTCACGAGGTTTATTCTGACGAAGCGTTTTCGTATTCGTTGTGAATTATTCGTAGGGCGGTATCTCGAAGAGAAAACGATCGCGCGATCACCTCGTTGCGAATGCTCCGATTACTTCGACCGGGATCTTTTGGGGTCACCCGACTGTTTCGATCGAGAAACGGGATCGGAGGAGTTTGATGCCTGGAACATCGCGATCGGCAGGAAATTCGGAAGAAGACTCGACGGGACATTAGACGGAGAGTTTCGAAAGGAGAACGGCACTTTGCGAATCGTTGCGTAAAGATGCTGAGCGAGATGCTGAGCAACGGTTACTTTTGGTCTTCACTGATCAGTGATCACCTCACTCGAATCGAGTCCATTTTTTTTTATCGCACCGGAGCCGTGGTCGGCAGGACCATTCGAAATTTCCCGTCGTCACTTCGAAAAACAGAGAGGCTCACTCGTCAGGGTGACGACTCCATGCATGACCTGCGTGAATTCGTATCGCGATCGCTAGATCGGAGCTGACGATCCGACGAGGACGCCGAATGTCGAGTCCGGCTAAGCCGCGATCAACTATTAATCCAGGCCGGGATCGGTGCGAAGGCGAGCGTTTAACGGTTGCGAGTATAACCTAAAGAGACCGAGCCGCGTAGCGCGAACAAAAGGTCGGAGTCGAGTTAGGTGTCGAGTGTGACGAGGCCGATTTCACGGTGAATGCAGAAGGTGAACATTACTGTCCACGAGTCTCGTGGAAGCGAAGGAGGCTGACCTTCCGCCACCGTCAACAATACCCGGAGCGTGATATCGGGAAGCGCGAGGCTTCGCGATATCGAGGTGTTTCCCCCGGAACCTGTCGCCCTTGTAAGGGAAACCGAGGAAACGGGCGACGGTGGTGGTGGCGGCGGCGGAGGGAGGGGGAGGGGAGAGAAAGAGGTATCCCGCCGCCGAAGACGAGACGCGAACGACGACGCGCGTAGAGAAACAAATGTGGGGAAACAAACCGGGTGACCTGTGAGCGCGAGTAATCGATGCACCCGCGATCTCTTCTCTTCGCTAAAAGACCGTAGAGTCGCCTGCTCTCGTCGAGAACGAGAACGGGAGATAGAGAGAGGGGGGAAAGGGGGTTTAGGGGGAAGAACGAGAAGGGGAGAGAAGGAAAGCGAGGCTCGAGGGCTCTCGAAGGGAGACGGGTGATTCGAGTTAGGCGAGTAGCAACATCACTGTATCCGCGTTGGCGTTTTCAGCGACATTTTGACGGAGAGACTCTCCCCCTGCCTCTCCTCC